CTTTTTTCTTCCACAGAAAATTTTGGAAAACTTTACATTTCCTCCCACATTTGGTAGAGAACATCTAAAATTTTTCATTGCAAGTTAAAAAGACGTGGATGGTATAATTCACAGATTGCTGTAAATGTTAACATTTAAAAATAAAATTGCTATGTTCCTTTAAAAAAATGGATTGATGGACGCCAAATGCTATATATTTTGAGATCTCATTATCAATTGTAAATATACCTTAAGCTCTTTTCTAACATTTGGAAATGCTACATCTTTTCTTTTCTCTTTGAATTCCTATTTTCATTCCACCTCTTTCACAAAATTTTATTTAAGAACAATGTATTTTCATCGTTGGAAAAAAATGTTATTATACTTACCGTGTTTCTCTAGAAAAAAAAAGTGTATATATTAAAATTTTAAAATTTCCTTTCTATTTTGTGACTTCATACCCTATAATATATTAACCTTTAGATTATAAGAATATAAGAGTTTAAAGGTTAATATATTACAAATCTTCATAATTATTAAACCTGAAAAGTGAATTTTCTTAGAATGGCATCTCTTTATATGAATGGTGCTTTAAAAATAATTCATGTGTGATGTACAACATGAATGAGATAAGGTTTAACAACAGATCTAGTCCCTTTTTAAATTTTAACTTTTAAAAATACAGTGTTAGGGGAACCAGCAGTTAGCGTAATGGTTATGTCTCTGGACTCCCACGTAGTCGACCGCAGTTCGAGTCCCGGACCCGGTGGCTTAAAACTCACACTGGGCGAGTGTGCGTGCGTGCCCAAGATCCAGAGAGGAGAATGGAGGAGAAGGGATTGTGGCGTGAGCATCCCCCCTGGGGGGTGATTTCTCGCTTTCTGTATCTCTGTCTCTCTCTGTCTGTCTAGCGAGCGCACGTGCCCTATAGCAAAAACCTCTCCAAAAAAAAAAAAAAAATACAGTGTTCGGAAGCCATGGATTGGTCACATAGCCTAGTAATTAAGAAGCCTCATGGCTGACCACTGTTCAGATCTTAAAGGCTTGAAGACCATAGCCAGATTCATGAGCAGGCATGTTCAAAATCCTGGCAGAATGGGAAACGGATAAGTGATTGCAGCATGATAATTACCCATTGGAGAACGCTTTTCTGTCTCTGTCTCTCTTTCTCTCTCTCTGACTCTCTCTGGTGAACACATGCTCCCTCTGGCAATTTCAAAAAAAAGAAAACCATATGTACATACGTAAAATTTATGCATGTATTTAAGAGAATCTTCAAATGCTTATGAAAAATGTGTATTATGAAAAATCTACGGGTGGATTTCAAATTTTTTTGCGTCAAAATAAACTCATACTTTAATTCTATTTTCCAGAAACTTTCTGAAGTCTTTTTTTGTTTGCATATATATATATATATATATGTACACAAGCTCCCACAAAAAGGGTAATTTTATTATGGTAAAGTCATTCAATTGTTTGATCTTCTTCTAAGTAATATTAAAATGACATAGGGAATCAATAAAATATTTATTTTCGATGATTCTCAACTGAGTAATTGATTAACACCATCTTCAAATGTACTGAAAACAAAGATTAAGAAAACAAGTGATTTTTTTTTTAGAGGTTTTTCACTATAGGGCGCATGTGCTCGCCACACAGAGAGAGACAGAGAGACAGAAAGCGAGAAATCACCCACCAGGGGGGATGGCCACGCCGCAATCCCTTCTCCTCCATTCTCCTCTCGGGATCTTGGGCACACACGCACACATGCCCAGCATGGGTATTAAGCCACCGCGTTCGGGACGCGACCCGTGGTCAACTCTGTGGGAGTCCAGTGACATAGCCATTATGCTAACTGCTGGTTCCCAAGAAAACAAGTGATTTCTAAAAGGTTTATTACTCTTATCTTCAGAGTCATTTACTTCCTGAATTTCTGGGAAGTAAAGCAACTTTATTAGACTTTTCAAACGATGAGTAGATATATCTACTACTGTCATGTAGCAGAGTGCAGGGGCACATGTCTGTAGTCCTGGCTACTGAAAAGGTTGAGGCAAAAGGATTGTGATATTGTGAGACTGTATCTGAGAAAAATAAGAACTGATCAATGAATAGTTCCAGATAAACAAACTATGCTCACTATACAGAACACATATAATAATTCAGGAAATGTAGTATACAGTGGTATTTGATTTTGATAGTTAAAATTTTTAGGTGATTATGTAATATTTTCTAGTGGTTCAGTGTCTTGGACAATCGCCATGGTGTGTTTGGTAATAGAATTTAATATTTAAAAATTTTGACAAGTTGAAAAATAAATATGCAGGAAGAATTTGAAGACAGAAGGTACTATATCTAATATCCTAAAGCTATATTTATATATAACAACATAAGCCACAGAATAGCAGATTTAAAATTTTCATCCATATTAATAATCTGCTTAATAATCAATCCTGCAACTTTGAGATGCATTTATTAAACTATTTTTCAACATCAAATTAGAGCTGGAAAATTCACCCATAAATAACCAGCTGGTTGAATTTTTATTTTAGTAAGAACAGAAATAACTGGACAAATGAAACAAACATTTTCAATGCATTAAAATAAAATGCCACAGGAAAACACAGAACAGTTGAATAAAATGCGCCATATCCTGAATAATGTATGTAATAAAAAATGGCTAATTATTATTGAATAATTAATTGGAAAATGTATTATTGAAGTCATCTAAGTGGATAAAAATCAAATATTTTAAGAAGTTTTCATTCTAGATAACCGAAAATGTATTATTAAGTCAAAATTTTAAATACTAAATGTATAAAAATAACCCATCATGGGATAAAGGAATGAGCTCATAGAATCACTTCCACAGTAATAATCTTAATATGTTTTTAAAAGAAGTATGTATATTAGAAATGTGTAAAATATTACATACTGCTTTAAGCCTTTCATTGCCTCTGTGACTCTACAAAGCAGAACTTATAAATAAAATATTAAGTATAATGAAATATGTTTCCTTTAGTCTACTTTCAAGTAATGTTTATTATTGCATGCTTCTGAATTTAAGGGAGGGTAAATAAGATGTTTCCTTAAATATTCACATTTTCATGTAACTTTGTAAATATTAAGAAAATATATTCATTTGATTTTAAATCAGTTTTCCTGATTTCAAGTATGTAATTCTTCAAGATTTTTATGCACATAGTGCTTAAACACATATGTCATTACACATTTTGACTAATAAGCATTACTGATTTTTTTTTACAAAAAATGTTTTAGAATTTTAAAATGTATTATTATTTTTTAATTTGGCCAGAGAGAAACAGAGAAGGATAGAGAGGGAAAGTGAGAAAGCAAGCCACCAGGTCTGGGACTCAAACTATAGTCAGTCATGTGGGAGTACAGCACCTGAACCACTATGCCACTTGCTAGCCCCTGATATTTTTTTTAAAGAAAAATTCTAAAACCTACTTAGTATTTCTTCTGTTGATTTGATGAATGACAATTTACAGAACAATAAGTAAACAGCTTTGTGTGGACTTGCAATTTATGCTAATCATTATGTGAGGGTTAATTTTTTTAATAATTCATAGAAAAATTCAAATAAAAACGTAATAAAATACCAGTTATTAAATGGTAGATACAATTTGTGGAGAATATGATATTCTTGTGAAATTCAATTTGTAAGCATAAATGAGACAATACTATCTGACTTTCCCTCTTCTATTACCAATTTAAGTAAGCATGAACATAAATTGTTATTTCCAGATAATGACTCGTAGCCATCTACTGGAGATCAGTGATAACAAGACCTGTTTCTGACCTGTAGAAGTTTACAGACTGATATAGAATCTCTAAATTTGAATTGGATGCCTGAAGTCTGCTAGTTATCTTGAAACCCTTCCCATCTCTTCACAGAGATTCATAAACATATCCATTTTTTAGATGTCTTTACCATAATTGAATTTTTCTAATTTAACTCTTTTGGTGCTGTTGTGACACAAGTCACAGATTCAGACTTTCCAAATGCACATACGCTAGGTGGACTTTACTCTGGATAATGAGGTAGTCATCATCTGTTTAGTCAAAGCTGAACCTCCAGGTGTGGAGCCCACTGTCTTAATCCACAGTGGGTCTTGGGAGAGCAACAGAGGCCAGTATATTCTCCTGTGCAGTAGATGTTCTCAAGAATCTGCTGTTGAACATGTTCAGCAGTAACTGAAGCATCACAGTTGAACCAAGTCAGGCTTAAGTGCCGCTGGTTGTTTTTCTCTCACACCAAATGTGCCTCAGGATCGTGCTTATTGCTCGCCAATGCTCCTTCATGACACAGTTCCTACTCTTTCCTGTAAAAGTCCCTGCTCCACTGAAGCTCTTAACCCACAGATATACCCTTATTCCTGAGCTTATTGCTCCCATCTTTGGGTTTCTGGCCACCCCCTCAGTCTTTGAAGACCTTAGCTATTCCTGCAAGTAAATCCCTCTCCACCATACCCAAATGCACCCAACAATTCCACATTTTGGGAATGACACTCTATACCAGTGGATAGATCTCAGCCTCCAAGATCACTATGACCCTGATTATTTCAGCAATTTTCTCTTACAATCAGCACCTATATTGAAAAATAATATAGACAATAAAATAAGAATTTTAAATCAATATATCTGGTCATTGCGAGAATAAATTTCATGAGTGTCATCATTATTATCTGGACTATATCCAAGGCTATAGAATAATCTCCTCATTCCCCAAATTCCAGTTCTCTCTGGCTGGTGTATGGACCAATTTGCACAAATCTACTGAATCAAGCATCCATTAAATAATCAATTGAAAAGTCATGGAATTAGCTTCATTGTAACAATTTGAGTATTATTTCCTCTGATGCTAAATCTTGGTCAAGTTATTAAATGAAAATTCAAGATTAAAAATAAATTAAGACTACAACCCAAGTAAAATAAATTTGAATGATGCTAAAAATCAACATGAAAAAAATATTTTTTTTCCAAAGGTGAAAACAACCGACCTTTTTTTATCAAGGGAGGCTCCTCTATTTCTCCTAAACAAAAACAAAAAGAGTAAGTTAGAAAAACTTTTTGCATATTATAATATGGCTTCACTATTTTCCATTTTCTTTGTGCATTAAAAAAATAGTAGTTTGACAATCACAGTCCTTATATTACGCTGCCTCCCAAATTCCAGTTTTTGGCATAAACTTTGTTTATGGACATTTGAGATAGTTTCATTTTATGAGTTCAATAAAATTGTGGCAGTGATCCAAATTATACATTACAGGTCATATATCATGTTCATTTCAACTCTCTATTGTTCATCTTGACTTCTCACTGGGGCCAAAAGAAATATAAATTCAGGCAAAGTCATAGAGGAGGCTCTAATAATATCAGCTTTCTTGGTATTAAAGGCTGAATACATGATTTCTGGTGAGTAAGACTGACCCTACAAAACATCAGCTTAAAGACAGAATCACAATGCTTCTTTCCACACCCACTCAATGGCAATTTATGTGCCATTTTGGTTTGCTATTTCCTTTCACTCATTAATATATATGAGAGAATACATAGGTTAGTTGCATAATTGTTGTGACATTTAGAATGTGTCTCTCCATTCTACACCTCCATTTGGCTCAATAAATTTTCTCTTTTTGATTGTGCTTTTAGTAAGATTGCTGTTTGCTCTTTGACTATTAATATGACTTACATGTGTAAAACTTACTTTTACTGTTTTTATTTCAATCTCCCTGGAGATAACTCTAGAAATAGATACTATTTTTTCCCAAAGAAGCACATAGACATGAGTTTCTGCTGTGGGTTTATAGTAGTGCATAATAAGACTCTCTACTACAAAGTTACTCTAACCGTGACATTTAATTTTGACATCATCGCCATAATGACAATTAAGCTATAAGATGAAAATCAAATAAAGACCAATTTACTGCATTTGGCAGCCCATTGATTCACTTTTAGCACTCAGAAGGGTATTCATTTTGGTTTAGCCCTGACCCTAGTGCTCATTTGTGCTTAAACTAAAACAATCCACTGTCTTAAAATACAACACAATATCTAATATAGAAACTAACAGCAAGAGAGGTCTCTATGCTCTTGTACCTTTATCAATGTCCTCATCTCCATCGTCATCTTCTTCATCACCTTCAGATGAGATGATGTCAGACAACAAAGAAAAGAAGCCATAAATCCAGTCTGTGGTTTCCTCCACTGTATCATGCACGAACTTTAAAGGATCTGAACCAATCTTGGCAATAGAGCTTGCTAAAAGTAATTAAAAACAAAAGAAAATTTTTGCAATCATCCCCAAAGACTGAAAGGAAAACTTTCTTTTCTGTTTTGTTGTTTGATCCAATGGATATATCAATTTCATAAATGTAAATATCTCTTGGCTACAATTTGTTTGCTCAGAAATAGTAACTATATGTTGCTGTGATATGCATGTGCATTCCATTAAAGACAAAAGAGGACTGGCTCTATGACCTAATGGTTAGGGAGCTGGATCTCATATTACTAATCACTTGGTTCAAATCCTGGCCCCAGAAACTTGAAAAACATACCAGATGTATGTGTGTTGGTGCCCCAAATCTCTACAAGATGGAGAAATGGAGGAGAAGGGATTGTGGCATGACCACATCTCGCTGAGGGATGCTTTCTCCCCCACTCCTCATGTATATCTCTCTCTGGTGAGAGCAAGTGTCCTATAGCAAGTTTTTTTTTCTTTTTTTAAGTTATTGGAGACCCCTGTAGCAAACACTATGGCATTATTAAGAAAGAAACTGCCCTTGAAATGTTCATAATGTAAATAAAAGTTCAGCACAGGGGAAATTAGAAATAAATTAAAATTGTGTATATTGATGTTCTAAAATTGCAAGTAAACCCAAAGTTATAGATGTTCATAAATTTAAAAAAAAATGTTGACCTATATTGTACTGGAAAGCATCATGGGAAAGATGACTTTGTAAGTTTTCAGACAAACAGCAAGGTTTCCAAGTTGACTAAAGGAGCTTTTGCTAAATTAATACTGATAGGTTCATTTATTATAATTTGTGATCTATCAGGAAAAGTCTAGAATTGTCAAAGTAGTGATTATATCAAGTTCAAACTAGATTCGATTATATTACGCTGCCTCCCAAATTCCAGTTTTTGGCATAAACTTTGTTTATGGACATTTGAGATAGTTTCATTTTATGAGTTCAATAAAATTGTGGCAGTGATCCAAATTATACATTACAGGTCATATATCATGTTCATTTCAACTCTCTATTGTTCATCTTGACTTCTCACTGGGGCCAAAAGAAATATAAATTCAGGCAAAGTCATAGAGGAGGCTCTAATAATATCAGCTTTCTTGGTATTAAAGGCTGAATACATGATTTCTGGTGAGTAAGACTGACCCTACAAAACATCAGCTTAAAGACAGAATCACAATGCTTCTTTCCACACCCACTCAATGGCAATTTATGTGCCATTTTGGTTTGCTATTTCCTTTCACTCATTAATATATATGAGAGAATACATAGGTTAGTTGCATAATTGTTGTGACATTTAGAATGTGTCTCTCCATTCTACACCTCCATTTGGCTCAATAAATTTTCTCTTTTTGATTGTGCTTTTAGTAAGATTGCTGTTTGCTCTTTGACTATTAATATGACTTACATGTGTAAAACTTACTTTTACTGTTTTTATTTCAATCTCCCTGGAGATAACTCTAGAAATAGATACTATTTTTTCCCAAAGAAGCACATAGACATGAGTTTCTGCTGTGGGTTTATAGTAGTGCATAATAAGACTCTCTACTACAAAGTTACTCTAACCGTGACATTTAATTTTGACATCATCGCCATAATGACAATTAAGCTATAAGATGAAAATCAAATAAAGACCAATTTACTGCATTTGGCAGCCCATTGATTCACTTTTAGCACTCAGAAGGGTATTCATTTTGGTTTAGCCCTGACCCTAGTGCTCATTTGTGCTTAAACTAAAACAATCCACTGTCTTAAAATACAACACAATATCTAATATAGAAACTAACAGCAAGAGAGGTCTCTATGCTCTTGTACCTTTATCAATGTCCTCATCTCCATCGTCATCTTCTTCATCACCTTCAGATGAGATGATGTCAGACAACAAAGAAAAGAAGCCATAAATCCAGTCTGTGGTTTCCTCCACTGTATCATGCACGAACTTTAAAGGATCTGAACCAATCTTGGCAATAGAGCTTGCTAAAAGTAATTAAAAACAAAAGAAAATTTTTGCAATCATCCCCAAAGACTGAAAGGAAAACTTTCTTTTCTGTTTTGTTGTTTGATCCAATGGATATATCAATTTCATAAATGTAAATATCTCTTGGCTACAATTTGTTTGCTCAGAAATAGTAACTATATGTTGCTGTGATATGCATGTGCATTCCATTAAAGACAAAAGAGGACTGGCTCTATGACCTAATGGTTAGGGAGCTGGATCTCATATTACTAATCACTTGGTTCAAATCCTGGCCCCAGAAACTTGAAAAACATACCAGATGTATGTGTGTTGGTGCCCCAAATCTCTACAAGATGGAGAAATGGAGGAGAAGGGATTGTGGCATGACCACATCTCGCTGAGGGATGCTTTCTCCCCCACTCCTCATGTATATCTCTCTCTGGTGAGAGCAAGTGTCCTATAGCAAGTTTTTTTTTCTTTTTTTAAGTTATTGGAGACCCCTGTAGCAAACACTATGGCATTATTAAGAAAGAAACTGCCCTTGAAATGTTCATAATGTAAATAAAAGTTCAGCACAGGGGAAATTAGAAATAAATTAAAATTGTGTATATTGATGTTCTAAAATTGCAAGTAAACCCCAAGTTATAGATGTTCATAAATTTAAAAAAAAATGTTGACCTATATTGTACTGGAAAGCATCATGGGAAAGATGACTTTGTAAGTTTTCAGACAAACAGCAAGGTTTCCAAGTTGACTAAAGGAGCTTTTGCTAAATTAATACTGATAGGTTCATTTATTATAATTTGTGATCTATCAGGAAAAGTCTAGAATTGTCAAAGTAGTGATTATATCAAGTTCAAACTAGATTCGATTGGATTTATTCTTGTTAGATGTCCCAGTGAAAGAAAAAAAAAAAAAAAAGGTGTTTGGGCTTCTAGTAACTTCCACAAATAAATTTGGGAAAACCGAAATCTATAAACATTCCTTTTTTCAAGTCCTCTGAAAGACGTTTGCAAATGAGAAATTAGATAAAAATGAGAGTCAATAGACAGATAAGGGATTCCAAAAATGTTCTTCTAATTATATGAAAATTGCTCCAAGAGGCAAGAGTAGCCTTTAAAATTTGATTGAAGCAATCACTCTAGAAATATGGTGTAACTTGCAACTGATTTTTCATCAATCTGTAATTAAATTTTAGGGTTGTTTTCTTTCAGTTCAAAAACTATTTTGGTTCTTCAGAGATTTCCCCCCCTTTCTCTAAACCTAAAAGATGAGAAAGATACCAATGTATCATATTATCTAAAGGTTAAGTATTCCAAAATTAGGCTTTTACTTTGATCGAGAAAGAAAGTCTTCAGGAGGCTTGAGTAACAGAATAAAATGATTTGATTTACAAAACTTTCTGTTTGTTTGTTTTGCTTTGCTTTGTTGAGGATTGAAAGAACGCTATGTAGCAAACTGGCAAATATGTAACAGACCAAGCAAGAGGCCAAGTGAAGTCATCCAAGAAAAAGATGAAAGATGATGGTGATTTCTAGCATGGTGATAAGAGTATGAGTGGTGAGATATGAATGTGGTGAGATTCTGAATGTATTTAGATGATAAAAATCAAGGATAATTTCAAGCTTTTGTGTGAGAAACTGAAAGGTAGAAATGCCATTTACTGAAATTGGGGAGCATTGGAATTTGTTGAAACAGTGGCAAAGAAAAGTAGTCAAGTCTTAGACTTTTCATTTGACTGCTAAACACATACATAGAAAAGTAGACATTTGTGTAAGTCAATGTTATCAACAAAAGAGAAGTTCTCCTTGAAGGTAGAAATTTGGAAGGCTAAAAAAGGATAAAAAATATTCAAAGCTATGACATTGAATGTGATTACCAAGGAAGTGAACACAGAAACATTTAAACATTTAGAAGGTAGAGAGATAAAACAGGTCAGTAGAGAGGAACCGCTGATAGGCTCTGAAAAGGAGAGATGGAAGGAGTTACAGAATCAAGAGAGTATAACGCACTAGATAACAAGTAAAAGAAAAATGCTTCTAGGGAGATAAGGTGGTCAACTGGCAACTGATGATGATTGGTCAAAGAGAAAGATTGAGAAGAGATCTTTAGATTTTACAATGAGGATATCATTGGTGACCTTCAAAGAACATTTACAGTGAAGTGCATTCAAGATCGGATGGGAAAAATTTGGAAAAGTAGGTATATTTTACTGTAAATGACAGAGATGAGGACAGGGATCATAGGCAATTTTTTTGTTGTTTGTTTAAATAGAAAACAAATATTTCATGGGTTATGATGATAGGTAAGATTTCATAAAGAGAGGGAAAATTATTAAGAGAGGATTGCTAAGGACATTTTTCATGTTATGATCAATTCTAGGGGACTTGTGGAGCTCATGGGCCATCCAATGACCCCCACGTTATAAAATACTGCTTTCAGGGAAACCTATGTCCGTGATTCATCAGTAATGTTCCTTCATCCCTTGCACTGTATTTTACCACATTCCAGAGAGTTTCATGTGAGCGTAAAATGATAGTTCGAATGGTAAAATTAAACCTTACAGGAGGAAAATGAAATGGAATTTTATAATTGCAATTGAGAATTTTAAAAGAACCATATGTAAGGAACTGGATTGTATTGGCACCATTAAAGGCATTTTTAGCACTGTTATATTTCACATCTAATGGAAGAATACTGCAAATGAGATTTTTATGATCAGAATAGATTGAGACTATTTCCCCATTCTCCTCCCATCTAAGTGTTAACTGAGGGACGTAACAATAAAATTCAACAAAATAGATACCAGTTTAATTATCCTTATGCTTAACTGCACTACATGTACTTTTCAGACATAAAAGGAAGGGTCTTCAGAAAGTTCATGGAAATTGCATATCATGAAAAAACTACGCATGAATTTTAATTTTCTGCATTAAAATAAACTTCAGTTTTTAATTCTGTTCTTTCCCTGAATTTTCAAAGAATTCCTTTGTTCATACTGCCTGGCTCTAAAATAGTCAAATCAGGCTATTTTCATGAAGTCAATTTTGCTGAACTGAGATCAGCTTCTGATTTCAGCTATTGGGCGACTTTAAAAATCTAAGCACATATGTATTTAAGCAAAAAAGCATCTTAAAGTTTATTCTGACTCCTTTTAGACATCATATACAAACCATATCAATGCAAAAAAAAAAGTATAACTAAACTTTTATCAAGGTCTTTTTTTCTAGTAGATATTCTAGGAGGTAGCAGGTAATTTTACTTTCTTACCTCTGACATTGCCCTGAATTAACTGCATACAAAATAGTGAGGATCATCATCAATATAACAGTAGCCAGATACCTTTCTAAGAGCTTCATCTATATTAATTCACTTTTTCCTTTCCAGACCCCAATGAAGTAGATGTATTATTTTATCACATTTTATAGGATATATTTTTTAAAACACTGAGGCACAGGAAAATTAAATAAAATGCCTAAGATTATGTAACTATAAATGAAGAAGCCAGATTTTACGCCTGCAGTTAGTCCTATAGAGGAGTATTCTTAACTATAGTGCTATGTGCTATTGAATAAACACAAACATGAATTCAAAATTGGTGCCAGGGTAAAATTTTGGATGGGGAGATTCTGGAAGAAGTTTTCTCTTTTTTTATGTTTGTTTGTTTGTTTTCTATAAAAAACAGAAAGGGAAAGCTTCAGAGACACCTCCCCCATGGGGTCTTGATAACATAATTCACTCTCTGCTCCATCCAGTCCTGAATGATGGGCATGATTATGCCTGCCACAATTAGGAAGGCCTCAAGACATGAACCCAAGACTTCCGCATGTGGTTCAGCCTCACAGAGCATCCTGCTTTCCTGATATATCACTGTAGCTCCTTGGAAAGGATTGTCTCACTCTCATAAGGCGAACAAGGTTTTATAGTTTGGGAACATAAAGCCTGGAGTTGTTGTAGTCATCCTGTAATCATGAGAATAGGAGCTGGCTCACTGAGAAAGACAAAGGATATAAAATGAAAAAAAATTGAGTGCATGATGACATTGTTAAAGCATTAAATTATCTGATCTTGGCATCATTCTACCTCCAGCACTTCTGTTATATGAGATAAGAAATTGTTCTCAGTGTTCTAGTTACTAATTGTATCCTATCATTCTTACAGAAAAATACACCACTGGATGCAGGGGAAACTGCTTTAGGCTACTTGTGGTCAATAATTGAATTCTTGGCACTAATAGGAGTGCCAAGAGAGCTAAAATAGGCAAGAGAGGTCAAGAAAAGTTTAAAGTTAAATAAGATGTGCATTTGTCTTTCGTTTTTGAAGTTAAACTATATACAGACTTAAGTTCCAAATGGGACTATATAAGGGAAATTAAATTAGTCATTTCTTGGCTCTCCTCCTAAAGAATCAAATTTATGGTTTCAGTATTATCTTTCACCAAGAATCTTACATTTCTTAAGTTATATTTAACTTTATTTTATCTTCCATGTTCTGAGAAACATCAGCAAATGATGGTTACAAGCTTGCCCTTAGAGTTCAGACAGAGAGCATTTGAGTTTGGGTTTCCTACCCAATGTTGTGTTGAGCCCTATTAGATAAAGAGAATAAGGAAAAACCAGTAAGATGGGTTGTGTCTTTATTTAAATTTTTGACACTTTTTTTTTTTTTGGAGAGGTTTTTGCTATAGGGCGTGTGCGCTCACCAGACAGAGAGAGACAGAGACACAGAAAGCGAGAAAACACCCCCCCATTGGGGATGGCCACGTCGCAATCCCTTCTCCTCCATTCTCCTCTTGGGATCTTGGGCACGCACGCACACACGCCCAGCGTGAGTTTAAGCCACCGGGTCCGGGACGTGAACCGCGGTCGACTACGTGGGAGTCCAGCGACATAGCCATTACGCTAACTGCTGGTCCTTTTAATTTTTTTTTTTTTTTAATTTTTGATACTTTTTTCATCACAGATTTTAGCCTTAATTTTGAAATTTTAAATATGCATTAAATTATTTCTAATAATTACTG